TTGATGGTTGAAGGCTCTAATCTACACGAAACATCGCCTGAACCTTCATGATGTGGAATGGGAGAGTGCCACTTTTGGACGCAAAACAATATGCACGCAATGATTATGCGGGACCAGATATCACTGTGCATCACACGAAAACGTCAGCACCCAGAGATAATCAATTTTTACTTTATCGCAAGCGTAAAGCGATGATCAAAGTCGTAAACAACGCTAATTCACATCAAGTGCGGCAGCGACCACATCTCTGCTGGCGGCAGGCCAATTCGTCTGAACGGTCCGATGAGTCCACCGCAACGCTGGCGCCCGGCTTTCAGCGCCGCTGACGGCAAATGGCTTTAACTCGTGTGTCGAAGCCTAGGTTACTGGGCTTTGCCTGAATGTAAGTGTTTTGAAGAAAGCATTGTCAAAGCAATGCGGTGTTATGGATTCTCATGTTTCTATATTTTATGAAGGGAGTCTGCTCATGAAATATGCTGGGGAAATTATCTGGTTTCAGGTCCATCTTCAAACGAAAATAATCCGAATACCTTCTTTGTAGTGTAGAGGTTAAGGGTGTCCATGGAAGAGTCTCGTGACAATAGCCATTTCTCGTGAGGATATGAGCTACTGAAGAAAATGCCTGAGAAAAAGTACTTCGCATTTCGGATTCGCCTAATTTAGATACCTATAGGTACAGTTCGGCTTCAAACTAAGACGTGGGACTTAGTCTTAAGATATGGCTTCGCAGATGTATTATCGGGAGACGCGTTTTTCGTTTAACCCACCGGTACAACGAAATATATTTTCCATGTCCAGCCACGCTGCTATCCAATGCAGGTCTTGGCCCGCTAGACACGTGGTCATAACTCGTGTAACTGGTGACTGGGGAAAGTTGATTGGACGCGCAATGATTACACAGTAGCACAGATGCACACGTGCACATCCATGCGTGCATCTATGTCCACGTTTACGCAGGTTCATCCATGCCCTCTTCACGTGGGCAAAAAGAAACAAGTGACCGCCGGAATGTGATGGTAATCCCCCAAGGATAAAAAGTCGAGAATAACTGACGCGGTATAATAAACAAAGAATACATCAACGATAGAATCTCAACAACCGTCATGGATTATAACGGGACCGGGACCAGCGACCAAGTAAAGATGCACGAGACATGCATGGTTAGTGTGTTGTTCACCCAGACGCTTGACTTTAGTGCATTTCTATAGGGCGCAAGTTCTCCCAAGCAGAGCTACGCGGTCGAAAACACTGCCGTTTGGATGGATGACACGAAAATGAGTGCCCTGCGGCGTTCTGCAATGTATGTAATGACCTGCCATGCCTCATCAATGTAACAGCGTCCGGGGTCCTAATTGGCCGTTTCCTTCACTCATTGAGATTGAATGTTCCTGATTGATATTAAATGATACCAATGCAGTATCCTTATGACAGGCTAATTTGTTACTCCGCGAAATGTAGCTAGTAATACACCGCGCAGCACAAATCCCCCGAGCACGCCGGCCAATGTCATCAGTGCTGACGACCACGACTTGAATTAATAATGCAAGATCACATGCGACCTCCATGTGACGAGACTTCTCTGCATTACATCCCCGGACTGTTCGGTGACGGGGGAGTAACACACTTGGTGTGACGACGTATCCTGCCTCTTCAATTGACGCACACACACACACACACACACACACACACACACACACACACACACACACACACACACACACACACACACACACACACACACACACACACACACACACACACACACACACACACACACACGCACACGCACACGCACACGCACACGCACACGCACACGCACACGCACACGCACACGCACACGCACACGCACACGCACACGCACACGCACACGCACACGCACACGCACACGCACACGCACACGCACACGCACACGCACACGCACACACACACACACACACACACACACACACACACACACACACACACACACACACACACACACACACACACACACACACACACGCACGCACACACACATGCACGCACGCACGCACGCACGCACGCACGCACGCACGCACGCACGCACGCATGTATATATATATATATATATATATATATATATATATATATATATATATACACGCACGCACGCAGGCACGTACTCACGCACCCACGCACGCACGCACGCACTTTTTTCATTTTCAAGCAGTTAAACAGTATGAGTATGAGTATGAGAACAGTAGATTCGGCTATACGCACTGCTGCCCGCAGCACGCGTGTCAGAACCTGGTAATCCCAGAACAAATGGGACCATGCACTGTGATCTGCGATTGACAGATCATTGTACACCACAACAAATGACTTCAAAACTGAGGCAACTGCAGTTCAAAATTACGCACAGGAGCCTACTAACAAATCGCATACTGAGCTGTACATAATTACAAAGATTAACCAGGGCCGGCGTTGCCAGAGCAACACGGAGGACATTTTGTATGCCAAATGCATTTTGCATGCTTTTTGGTTTTGCGCTCAGTCGATAAAATTATATAATTACTGGACAAACTTGAGCGTGCGGTTACGCGTGTTGCAACTTCCTACAACGCAGCATATGTTGTTCACCTCCGTTGACCGTTATTGAAACACTACCGCTGTTTGCTGTTCCCTTTTGTGTGATGCTGGAGAAACAGTTTATTTGGCAGCGTCACAACTAGGAGTACGATTCGTCTTTTACAGGCTTCAGTGTTTTTGTAAACACGTATTGCGAAGGTGAGGAGTGGCAATTGACAGGAGAAAGCTGACAAAGTGCGCTCAAACTAAGTTGGCCATTTTGAACAGGCTGTGAGGATGACCCGGCGCTTACAGGCGTCAACACCTGAATGCCGAAAAGGGGGTAGCACGGCCGCTAGATGTATCTCATGAAATGTAATTGTTGTGTGCAATGCGTTGCAATAAAAAATTTGAAATCCTTTGTTGAAAAGAAAAGGGGCTGAGAGGAGCTCTGCATCTAGCTAATGAAACAACTCTACGTTAGCGTCCTGAAACCTGAAGTATACGAACACACAAGAACAAGGTGTGGGGGTTGCAGCTGCCTTCGCGCGTAGTCCATTTTTTGTAGGCCGTGTGCAAACCAAACCAGCCAACGGAAGAAGCCTTTTGAGCTAATCGCGTGGAAAATTTAAGTATGCCGTCGATATTTATTTGATGTATTTCTCGTGGCGAGTTTTTCCGTTGGCACTGGAACAAGTCTGCAGAGTTATAGCTCCAACACAGTCTAGTGGGAGGCAAGTGTCACATATCTGTGTTCCATCATGATTTTTAAGTCCACGGCGCTGCGGTGCAGGACAAAACAGTATATGAATTGCTTGTGATTTGTGATACCCGAAACTATTTCTAAGCTTTTTAATTTTCTGCTCGTTTCGGGAAAACGTAGTTAGAAAATGTTACTGACGAGCCAGCGCCTTGCATGGGGATTTATCATGCCGAAGCGTTTCCAAAAAAACAAGACGTTTTAGTGCAGATTTTAAAGCACCATCTGCTGCTAAGGATACCATATGACCTAGGAAGAAATGTCTCAATTTTTATTGGCGTACTCATAGAAAATTGTTTTTTACCGTCCCCAATCTAGGGTCACAATTTTCATAAAGCGTTTTGAATATGGTCGTACTGAATAAACGTCCGACCAGGAAATTTATATTAATATAGTCTTGATCATCACGTGCTGGCCATATCGGGAACAATCTTGTCATAAAACGTATTCAAGTGAACGAAAAAGTGTGCCCGAAGTACCAAATTATGTCGAAGCACTCTATTAACATCAGATAAGCACCCGACTTAGACATGTGCCATTCCCATCCACTTCCTAAAACAGTTCCAACAGTCATAAAGGCCTCCACCCTCCTTCGCCTATTTCCGTGATCGCCCCGCCGAGTGGAAGGGGGGAGGGGATTCGGTGCCGGGTAATCTAACCTGCCCCGGAAGCCACTGCTCAGCGGCACCTCGCGCGAACAGGACGTCTGGCGGCGCGTCTCGACCGTAATGACTCCCGTCGGGGCGGCCGTCGCCGCCGCCCGCCGCCGATCCTCCCCGACGCCCCCAAATAAACACCGCGGCTGGGCGCGCGCCGCGTCGCGACTGACGCGCTCCGTCGCGTCGACGTCGGCTCGGCGTCGCCGATGTTGCGCCGGCTCACGGCGGCGGCAGAGACGCGGTCGGAGGGCGCCGGGCGACGCTCCGGCCGCGTCCGAGAGTTTACGAGCGTCCCGACGGCAGTCGGGCAGTTATTGGCTTGACCACCGACTGCATTCGCAGCAGAGGGTCCAGCGGGAGCGGCGCGATCGGAGAGGCCGCGCCGAGGTCGCTGCCGACGCATCGCGAGTGTCACGGCGCTCGTCTCGCACCGCGCGCTAACGAGGGAGGTTCATTTACGTCGCGCTGGGAGTGCAGTGACCACTTATCAGCGCGACCCGGGCGGCTGGCATTTGTTTTGGCAATAGCCGATACTCGTCTGCGGAGACCGACCGGTCGTTGGCGGCGATTTAGGATGAGTTTGGACGGGGCACCGAATTTAAGAGGCGGCGACCGACAGATCGTTTGAATCATGGCGTTGTAAATTTCCGCTGCTGGCGAGTCTTCTTCTCGGGGGACTGCAACTCAGACAAACGCGGGACATTGATGGGATTACGCGAAGCTCATTCCTTGGTCCAATCCCGTTTTATTTGGGCTCATTCCAGGCGTTAATCGTGCTCCGCGAAACTCCTTTCTGACTGCATGATTTCCGTAACGCCTTCTGCAGTTTGGCAAATACGAGCGCCACAACCTTCAAGACGATTTATCGCGGTCACACGGCAGCCAAAGCCTTAAATATCCGATTCGTTGGTCTTCTTCATCCCCTTTCTTGTCGGAGGGGGAGGGAGGGAGGGGTCCGGAGATGCACTCATCGGAGCGACACTAGCGCCGCCCCGCGGACCAGCCCTAGATCGCCGCACCGGCCCGTCCGCTCGCCAGTGTAGCGCCTGCTCCCGGCTGTGGCGGTTGCGTTCCTCTGCCTGTCCCACCTTGAATCAGGTGCCACCCACCAGCGCCGAGGATCATCTCATCCGGGCAACGCCGCGCGGCCGTCTCCGCCAGGTGAGTGTCCCACCTCCGAGCGCGCCCATCGCCGGAGCGTCCGCGGCCGTCGTCCGAGGATCTCGTCACGCCCCCGGCTATCGCTCGAATATCCCGCGACAGTCGCGGCAGTCGCTTGAGTATCCCGTCACGTCAGCGGCGGTCGCTTGAGGATCCCGTCATGCCCGCGGCCGTCTCCCGAGTATCCCGTAACGACTTCGGCCTTCGCTCGAGGATCCTGTCCGGCCCCGGCCGTCGCTCGAGGATCCTGTCACGTTCGCGGCCGTCTCTCTAGGACCGTGTCATGGCCGCGGCCGTCGCTCGAGGATCCTGTCACGGCCGCGGCCGTCTCTCGAGGATCCTGTCATGGCCGCGGCCGTCTTCCGAGGATCCCGTCTCGACCGCGGCCTTTGCTCGGGGATCCCGTCACGTCCACGGCCGTCGCTCGAGGATCCCGTCATGGCCGCGGCGCTAATGTTTACGGCCGCGGCGGGCGTGGCGAGCATCCTGACCACCGTTCCAGCAGCTCGGCGGTCCGGCTGCACACCGCCGTTGTGGAGCCGCTCACGGAGACACGCGGTGCGTGGCAGAGGCGCCGTCGCCGGGCCGCCCGCACGCTATTTGTCCGGCAGATGTGGGTCGCCGCCGAGTGCGTCTTCACGCCTCGCACTGGCGGCGGCGGGCGGGGCGGGCGCCGGCTCGCTCGAAATGGCCTTCGTAAAGGGTGACGGTGGCGGAACGGGTGGCGAAATTATCAATACCGGCCGGGAATGGTGTCGGCTCTGCGACCGAGCAGTCCGTGGGGTGATTGCGGTCGTTACATGGGTAGTACGTCTGCGTCAATAGTCGCAGCGGGTGGCGGGGCCCGTGGGACAGGTTGACACGCGTGTACGTGCGATTACGCGTGTGCAGAGGTGGTTGAAAGATGTCCTAGCGTGAGGAAGGTATCCAGGCGTTAGAATGGTGTCCACGCGTGAAAAAGGCGTTCAGGCGTGAGAAAGGTGTCCAAGCGTGAGCTTGTGTATCGCGCTTATCAGCCTGGGCCTGTCTGTGATTGTAACCTCTCTGTTTGTCCGAAGACAGCTGCGACAGGCCGTCTAGTGCGCCTCTTTTTGTCGAGTGTGTGCGTTGTGCCAGGTGCATTGAATAAGCGTCGGGCGCGCGTGGAAGGGGGGGGGGGCGGGAAGGGCCACCGGTGCGCGCGCTTGCGTACCTCGATGTTATCGTGCTCGCCCAGCTGTGCCTATAGAAGGTGTCCTTATGAATACATGTATACCCGTCTCTGCCCTCGCCTGTCCTCGGGTGTCCGCGGGTGTCCGTCGGAGGCCCCTTTGTCCGCGTGTTATCATTCAATCGTGATGGACTCACGCCCGTTGCTCCAATGGATGCGCTGTGTGTCCTACGTTTCAATACCCTTCCCGTTTCGCTTCGACACTCCATCGTATGGCATAACTCAGCGCGCTTGTCTGGCTGCCGTGCGCCCCAGGGTCACGTGACTCAGTACGTGCTCAGTGTGCACCCAGGCACGTCCGTGTAGGCACTTTGTGCAGTGACCCCAGCTTAAATCCGCATGAACCTGCATGCGTGCCAGTACGAACCACGTGCGTCCAGGGGCGCGGGAACCTGGTCGCAGGAGGACAGGGTCGCGGGGACCCGGTCACGGGAGGACAGGGCGCGGGAACCTGGGCACGGGAGGACAGGGGAAGAACCCCAAACTTTCTGGAAGTTTAGCATTGACCTTATAGCCGTTGACTGGAAAGGAATAACCAATAAGGCTAGCCCCGACCTGGGAGAACTTTCGCTGCTCCTGCGAGCATTTATATACGGTCGTGTGCTCCGTGTGTGCTAATTTGCATCGGTCTATACCTCATTTGTCCGAGAACAGCCGCGCCCGCGCCGCGTGCCCGGCCGGTGTTCACCGCCTGCCTGATGCGTCCGCGGACCCTGCTCGCGCCGCGGGCGGCAGTGGGCGTCCGAGCGAGGAGCCGGTCCTGCCCGCGCCCTCCAGATGGCCGCCGATTAGCCTGCAATTTATGACGGTGTCGTGTTGCACAATGCACAGCCGACAGCGCGGCTCGGTGACGGATTCGACGACGCGCGGGCGGCACTGTGATCGCCTCCGCCGCCGCGGCACGCAGGTGTGAGGCTGTGGCCACGGCGGCCGTGCTGGGGCGCCTGCAGACGAGGCAGCGGCCCCGCGCGCTGTCGTGGACCACGTGCAGCGGCGGCACGCTGCCGTGCCTTCGGCGCCGTCTCTGCACGGCCGGCGCGCTCCGCCAGCCGACCGTGTCGGTCGAGACGAGCGGAGCGGCCGTGGAGCGCCGTCCACTGCCAGTGGTGGACGCTTTGGGGGGGATGGGATGCTGGCACCGTGCGCCGCCGCCGGACGCCGGGACGTGCCAAAGCCGCCCTGCGGCTGGGGATCAGAGCTGGATTTGCCGGGCCGATCCGGCGGTCGGCGATGTCCGCAGGCGGAGCAGCGTCACCTCTTATCTGGAAACGCTTCCGGCGGAGCGTAATCCAGCGGACCGACTCACCTCGCCTTGTGATGCCCGGAGGGAACCATCCCCTACCCTCGTCCCAGCAACCCACTCACCCAGCAACGTCTCTATCGGGGTATAGTCCACTCATTCAGTTCAACCTTCCGGCGACAGCTTGCTGGAGCTGAGAGCAAACAAACCATCGCATGCTTCCAGCAGCAGACTTCCAGTCCCCTTCCACGTCCCGGGGCTGCTGTGCACACCCTAAATCACCCATCACAAGCCACGGGACCGTCCCGCCCCTCCGACTCCGCCTCAAATGGAGCGTCTCCAGCGCGGTCGTCCACTGCCCCTTTAGATGGGGCGGCGGCGGACCGGAGAGGGGTGCTCCGACTCTGGCGGCGAGCAGGCGGTCCGCAGGTGGGAGGGAGGGGGGGGGGCTCGCGGTTGGCTGAGCGTCCCGTCGCCGTGACGTCCGTTTGTTTGTGTAATGGCTGGGGCGGCCGGCGCCCGGGCGTCAGGCTGATGGACGCGGGACAGCCCGACCTCGGCCGTCACGTGTGACGGCCGTCACCCGTCACGGCCGTCACGGCGGCGCCCGGGCCCGGCGCGCTCGGCGCCTCCTGTCAGCGCCGGCTGGGGAGGAGGCGTGTTGGGGGCTTGTGTTACGCTGAGTATTTACGTGGGGGCTCGAGCGTCCCCCACTGGTGGGTTCGGTTGCAGCGCACATAAACACCACAGCACAGCGTGGGTGTTGTTCCTTGGGGCTGCTGTCGGCAGACGCGTCCGAGCGGGCGCGAGATGCACTCTCGCGAGGCGTGGCGCAGAGGTGATGGCATGTTTTGTCTGCTTAATTGGCCGTGGACAGCCTTTGACGACCCGTTAGCCGGGTGATTCTCCTGGGCGGCGAGTGCAACGTCAGATCGTTTACGCTTCGGGACTTACGTGATGATGGCCTCTTCGAAACTGAGAGTGCGGAAATGTTAAGCCGCCGACAGGATGCGTTACCGCCAAATGATCATCGGGTTTGACCGTTTGCATGTTAAGTTGGAGGAGCCGACAGCGGCGCTGGAGCGGCGCCAAGCAGCACACCGAGCTTTTCGCATCCGCCCGCTGCTGACTGCCGAGCCCCGTCTTTGGGGCCGGCCGTCCCGCGCGGCCACGGCAAAACTGCCCCACATTTCCTCGAACTTGTCGCTCAAAGGAAATCGATTCGGTATTAAGCCGTGTCTGCGGACACTTTCAGCTTAAAGAGTCGACCCCTCGGCGTCTGCAAGGTACAGTACTACTGAAATGCACACACCATCCCTTTAAATAATTACGCCGGCCGCTGGCGCTCGTACACGCCCCCTCATTAGCGCGCACGACACACCAGTGGTCACGCTAGCCGGCACCTCGCGCCGTCCTTCAGCCCCTGCGTGGCGAGGAGGTCCACCGAGCAGGGCCGGGCGCGGCTCCGCCCCACCCCCAGACTGGCTGGGGGCGCGTCCGGGTGTGGGTGCAGCCTCTCCCGGTTGGCCGCATCCTGGATACACCCAACTATATGCAGCTACAGCTGCTGCGGCTGCATGTGCGGCTCGCGCCAGCTGACCCCGGTCTGGCTCCGGTCTGGCTCCGGCTGGCTCCGTTCTGGCTGCGGCCGACTCAGGCCCACTCCGGCCTGGCCCCGTCAGCTCCGGTCTGGCTCCGGGCTGACTCCGGCCGGCTTAAACCCGCTCCGGTCTGGCTCCAGTCTGGCTTCGGCCGGCTCCGGTCTGGCTTCGGTCTGGCTCCGGCCGACTCAGCCCCGCTCCGGTCCGGCTCCGTCGGCTCCGGTCTAGCCCCGGTCCGGCTCCGTCAGCTCCGGTCTGGGCGCCCCGAGCCCCTAGTGGCTGGGTGCGCGGCTCCGTGCGCGGACGAGGCAGCCGGCCCATTCTGGACTCCAAGTATTTCTGGGTGCGCATGAAACTGATCCCAGGCAGGGCCACGAATGGGCCGGTGTGTTCCTGCACGGCTGCGAGAGTAGGGGCAGTCGCCTGTCGCCTGTCGGGCCTCATGTGCCGCGTCGTCTGTACCCTGTCCGCCGCCCTTCTGTTTGTGTACACGTCCATTTGAGCGATTGCGTGACTGCTGTATGCGCCACTGGGGGCCATCACAGGCGCGCGGCGTCACAGCAGCGGGTGACAACTCTCGACTGGCCGGCTTCCGGTCCGGTGTCGCGCTGTCGTGCTATTGTCACGCCTTGTGTCGGGTCACGACCTTGTGACCTACGTAGGCCGCCGCGGGCGGATCCCGTCGCCGGTCCCTGGTTTGGCCGGTGCGGCGCGCCGCTGGCCACACAGCCGAAGGAATTCCAATAACGAACGCATGGGCACGCCCAAAATCCACTTCGTGCTGGACTCGGCCTGAAATAAATTGGGGAATTGTGTCATTTTAGTCTGCGGCCGGGCATTGCGTGCGACTTGATGGGAAAATCTAATTTTTCATGCCGGGATGTAGTGATCCTTACGTCCTCATGCCGGGATGTTTTAACTTAATTGAAATCCCACAAACCACCTCATT